CTATTCTATTCTATTCTATTCTATTCTATTCTATTCTATTCTACTCTACTCTACTCTACTCTACTCTACTCTACTCTACTCTATTCTATTCTATTCTATTCTATTCTATTCTATTGAATACTTGTAGCTCAGGCTCGATCTGTGTATCCTTGGTGCTCTCTGTGCAACCCATTCCCTTCTTTAGCTTCTATCTCACCTGGGCCACACATTTATTCTACTCTACTCTACTCTACTCTACTCTACTCTACTCTACTCTACTCTACTCTACATTGATCTTCAGTGTTAGAAGACTTTGCAATGAAATTCTCTGTTTGGCATTTCTGTATAGTAGACAGGTAGTCCTTGACTTATGACTGCAATGGGAACCAGAATTTTCCTTGCTAAGCAAGGTGGTTGCTACGAGAGTCGTGCCCAGTGTTGTAACTGTTTTGCCGCACTTGTTAAGGTAATCACTGCAGTCATTAAGTCAACTACATAGTCGTTAAGCGAATCTGGTTTCCCTCATTGTGCTGGGAAGGAGCGCGTGCGTGCACACGCACAAAGACACACAGACACACAGACACACACACACACACATATATATTTGTTGATTATTCCCTTGGTTATAAATTCCTCTAGAGTGGGGTTAACACGGAATTATATTCCCATTGCGGTGAAAATGATTGAACAAGATTTAGCCAGATCCATCACAAAGAATAATAGGAAATGACAGAGGATATTTCTATTCCCTGAGTTATCAGGCATTTTTAATCATCCTTCCTTAATTAGAGTATCAAAAGGTCATTGAACATGAGACTCTCAAGATAATATTTTGGAACACCAGATTGTTTTGAATGGCTGCATCCAGTGATTCATTTATACTGAACGAAGGCCCAGCGCCATTCGTGCGCATCATTGCGGCTTGATAATGCGCAGATAATGGATTAGCCTTTGCATTAACTTGCAAATGAGGGAAAATGAGTGTTTGCTTGCACACTCCGCAAAACCCATACAGCTGAAAAACAAGCATAGGAGAGAAAAAATATCTCCTGCGTAGTTTGAAGATGTGGTCACACACAACCATCTCTGTGAGTCACTGGCAGTTAAAAAATAAATAAAATCAATTATCTCTATTACCAAAGGAAGAGGGGAGGGTGGTGGAAATTGTCTGTTTTTCTCATGGACCTGTCAGAAGGATAATTAGGGGTTCCAACTCAGGGGTGGGGTTGCATGAGAATAAACAGAAATGAGATCCTGATAGCTGTGAGGTGAGAAGAAATCCTTATTCCTAAAAGCAAAGCGATGGCCTTTAGGGGCAGCCACAGAGAAACAGGGTAAAGCAACACCGTGAAAAACAAGATCGTCCTTGACTTAATGACCACAATTGAGCCCCAAATATATGTGGTTCAGCAAGGTAATTATTAACTGAGTTTTGCTCCATTTTACAGCTTGCCTTGCCGCGGTTGCTAAGTGAATCCCTGTCGTCGTTAAATTAGTAACACGATTGTTGAGTGACTCTGGCTTCCCCCATTGATTTAGCTAGATAGGAGGTCACAAAAGGGGATCGTGTGATCCTTGGACACTGCAACCGTCGTAAGTGTGAGTCGGTTTGTCAGACAACGGGACGTAAATCCCGTGGCGATTCATAAGTGTGAAAAATGGTCCTAAGTCACTTTTTTTGGTGCTGTTATAACTTCCAAAGGTCACTAAATGAAGTGTTGTAAGGCGAGGACTACCCCTCCCCCGGGCCCCGTTTTAGGCCTAAAAAGCCTCCCTGGAGCCTTAGGAGACACAAAATGGGCCATGGGGGGTGTTCTGCACCCCTGACACCCTGCTCCCTGTTTTGGGCCTAGGAAACTGTACTTACCTGATAGCTAGACCCAGGTGCGTGGGGACTCCTGAGAGTGAAGGGGCGGTGCCAGCTGGTCTTCGGAACTACTGACTCGGCGAACTGGATGTAAAATTAACAGCCAGATTGCCCAAACCATACCGAACCGGATGAATACTACCCCTGGAATTAGGCCTGGATAACTTATTTGAGGTTTTGAGGAAGTTTGAGCAAAAGATTTTCCCCGTTTGTTATTTTTTACTTGATTAATTCACTTTCAGCTTTTCGGTCAATTATCCAACAGAGACGCTGATTCTCAGTCCATTGTGGATTCTGTTCATGTTTTAAGGGAAGATGGAAACAGTATAAAGCAGTGGTGGATAACCTTTTTGGACTCCTGTGCCAAAAATTGTGTGCGCGCTTGCATGCTCATGCTCACGTGCCAGCACCCAGAAGGCAATGTGTGACCCCTATGTCCCCTATGTGTGCATGCGCAATCCCCACCCCCCCACCTCTGCCATCCCCTTACCTGCATTGTGCCTCACAGCTGATTTTCGGCCAGGCTTTTCAGGCCCAAAACCAGGTCCGTTTTGTCACTTCCGGTATTTCTGGAAAAACAGGAAGTGACAAAACGGGCCTAGTTTTCATCCTGAAAAGCCTGCAGAAGCCTTCCTCAAACCCCTGGGAGTCCCAAAAAGGCCTCAAACCAGCAGAAAATCAGCTGTGAGGTGTGCGCATACTCAGTGAGGTAAGTTTACTTACAGCTCACGTGCCAGCACAAATGGTTCTGCATGCCATAGGTTCGCCATCAAGGGTATAAAGGATATTTTGATATAAAATTTCTCACAGACCCTTTATGTGAAATATGCTACAAAATACACTCATGCTGCCCTACAAAACCGGGGGCAATCCTTAGGCCGGACATGAAGCCACCTACAATTTAGGAGTAGCATATTACAAGCAGACACAAATGGATTTTTCTGCTAATGCTAGAAAACACGGGGTTTTTTCACACCTCTGTAATGGCAGGAGTATATCTGTGGTTCACCAGCTTTTGCTTTTACAATTGGACAGGTTAATTTGTCACCGTGATTCTGGGAGCCTACCAAAAAGGTAACCGTAATTCATGAGAAATTTCCTGACAGTTAGAACAATTGATCAGTGAAACAACTTGCCTCCAGAAGTTGTGGATGCTCCAACACTGGAAGTTTTTAAGAAGAATTTGGACAACCATTTGTCTGAAAGTGGTTTCCTGACTTGGACTGGAAGAGCTCCAAAATCCCTTCCCTTCCAATGCTGTTATTCTGCTATTCCGGTGGTTTTCTTGCAGACATTTCATTACTCAACTAGGTATCTTCCTCCTTCTCCTCCTTATCATTATCATCGTCATCATCAATGCAATGATGACGATACCTAGTTGGATAATGAAATGTCTGCAGGAAAACCATCAAGCTCAGAGAGCACCGAAGGCCCCACAATTCTGACTCTTAAGGGTTGGAGAACATAAAGAAAACCGAGCATCTTTGAAACGGCATAGCATTTTTTCCATAAATATTTCTCACGTCAGGAAAGAATGCCTCTTTTCTCCTGCATGAATTTACTAAGCCCCGGTTGATTAGGATCGTGACAGAACTTTCAACAGATAGTTTTTGAAACTACCACTTAATTCTGGCATTTCAAACCTGGAGCTCAACCGATTCACTTGTTTGCGAAGATTTAAGCCTCCTGTGCTTTTCTTTTCCTCGCCTCTCTCCGAAGTTAACACTTTTATTTCTAATTCAGTAAAATAGCTGGTACCACTGCGACTTAGTGGGTTTGTCCTTGAGGATGCTGGGATTATTTTGGGGGAGGGGAGGTGTGGGGATGGGAGAGAGAAAAAAATGGCAAAGAATCTCAGAGACGTAGAAATAGCCATTAGGGACCTTGGGATAATCTTCCAGGTTCAGTTTTCAGCAGAGACATTATCCTTCCGCCACTGCTGCTGCAAACAATTATCTTCATTTTTTTCCTCAAGCCTCATTATATTCAATTGTCTTTCTTCCAGTAAGGAAGAGAAATAAATAATTAACAGATGGTTAAGCCAATTCTTGTACATGTGCAGAAAAGAAGGAACTGCTGAACAAGCATCTCGCCAGGAGATCAATCCCCGGTTGGCTGTTGAAGGTTCTTTCATTTCAGGAACCAGATTAAGGGCCTAAGTGAGCCG